TTATGGTTAAAATTATTTTGCAAAAAAAGTGCATTATGACTGGTTAATTATTCAGAACCCAAAATAGACATCACTCTTTTGTTTTTATGGCAGAAAATGTTTCTTTATAAGGAAATGTGATCTAGAGCAATTTGCCTTAACTCCTTTACTCTTTTCCTTTTAGGGCTTAAAAATGGAATTTCAGCAGGCCAAGGCAACATCTTCCGCCACAATTTCCAAAATGACCCCCACGCCACCTTCTCTTCCTTCTTCCACAACTCAGACCACTTTGACATCTTCTTCGGCAGCGACCCCGATGGCGATGACGACCTCTTTAACCCCTTCCGGCGATCCACTTTCACTAATCTCGGCGGTTTCGCCGGCTACGAGGCAGGCCTGCGGAAGGGCACACAGAACTTGTCTGGCGAGGCCGTGGTGCATGACCTCCCAGTGACGCTGGAAGAAGTGATGCATGGCTGCACAAAGCAAATGAAGATCACACGTAGTCGGCTCAACCCTGATGGCCGGAGCCTGAGAACTGAGGAGAAGGTGTTAAATGTCGTGGTGAAGAAAGGCTGGAGGGCAGGCACCAGGATCACCTTCCCCAGGGAGGGAGATGAGACCTCTAATAGCCCCCCTGCAGACATCACCTTTATTCTAAGAGATCAGGATCACCCACAGTACAAGAGAGATGGGGCCAACATTGTCTACACAGCCCAGATCACTCTTAAAGAGGTGAGTCTACTCTTGGGTCCACATGTCCCATATTTCAAATACTCACAACTGAGATAGTGGCTACAATCTACTGCCTTTTGTTCTTAAATACAAAACAAAAAAAACAGAATCATATTAAGTACTCTAGATAAAAATTTCAGGTTCTTTATCTAGTCTCAAAAGAACACCATGTTCCAGTCTGGGCATTTCAGCCCACCACTCACAGTAGCCTGACAGACCCACCAAACCAAACGACAGCAGTCTGCCAACACCTCAGTTACCTCAGCAGCCCCTGCAGAGTGAAAGAAAAAAAATGAGCTAAATTTAGCCCTGCCTGCTGACTGCACCCACGAATCGCACTTCAGCCTCCCTCTCAGCCATTGCTCTCACTGTAGCCTCAACAAACCAGGCGGAGGGAGAGAGAGCAGAGAGAGACATTTCTTCTGGCTCACTCTTCCTCGGCCTCTCAGTTCCACCGACCCACGCACAGATTAGCAGAGCAGCAGTCACAGAGACTGACATTTCAAATAGCTCCTCCATCCTCTTTTGGCTCCCCATCAGTCACTGAAACACTTGACTCCCACACACAGGAGGGAAATAGAACACTGATAATAACATCTGTACCACTGTTGCATAACTCAGTCAATCTTTTCACAAGTACACATACATAATATTCATCAGTTACACAACTGTGTATGCATCACTTTACCTAATTAGTTTTAGAGCTAATATTGACAGTAGGCCTCAAGATCTAACTTTATCTCTCCTTTGTTTTCTCTCCAGGCTCTCTGTGGATGCACAGTCAATGTACCGACCCTAGACAACCGCATGATGCCTCTACCATGCAGCGACATCATCAAGCCAGGCGCGGTCCGGCGGCTAAGGGGCGAGGGTCTCCCACAGCCCAAAAGCCCATCCCAACGGGGCGACTTGGTGGTGGAGTTCCAGGTGGTCTTCCCTGACAGGATCCCACCACAGTCCCGCGAAATCATCAAGCACAGCCTGGGGCAGTGCTAGCCTTCTGCATTTCCACTTCACACAGCCTTGCCGTGTGTCTTTCTTATTTCTCAAACACAGCCTTGCCTACGGTGCTAATATCACAACCAATCACAACCTCTTATTGTGTTTGGAAAAGGCAAACAGAGCTGAGTAGGTCAAACTGTACTTTAGAGAGGAAAGTTTCTGAACTCTTAGTGCAAAGCACAACAGCTGCTGGTGCTGCGCGAGTGGTTGGTTACAGGACTAATGAATGGTTTCTTAGTAGTCTGAGGCATGCATTTATTCAACAGCCTTTGCCTGGGTGAAAAGGTATACCTGTACTGTTATACTTGCAAACTTATGGCAGGATATCAGTGTGCTATTCAAGTCTGTATAGACTTACATAAACCTTAATGGTAGAAACAAGCGAAGAAAAAAAAAAACATCTTTCTCCTTTTTCTTCTTCTTCTTCTTATGGTTATATGGTGCTCATATGACTGATTTTTTGCATTGATTTATTACAATAGCAAAAACTACTTGTGTGCAAAGGTCTACTTTGTGTACAATATGAAAATAATGTTGTCTCTAAAAGAGATTCACTTGTCAAATGTTCTATCGAATGACTAGAAAAGTTTGTATATATTCTGCAATAATAGTTAATGATGTGTTCCTGCTTTATTCTACGGCATGAAAAATAAAAGACAAAAAAAAAAATGTTTTTTGTTATGTTTTTTTTTTGTGAACAGATTAGTAGATAACTGTTTATGTTTCCGAAGTCGTTTGGTCTATAAACAAAGAACCACTCACAATTTCTATGTTCACCAAAACCCCATCAAGTCCATGTGATCAGTTCACAAGTACTTTAAGAACATATTCAGCATTAAATCTGAATATATGATTCTGTTTTAGGGTTTAGAGTGCTCTTTTTTGACAACTCCAGTGAATTAGCAAATCTACTTTATGAACACACCATTAAAATATCTTTTTATAAAACACTTGCATGCAAATTATTAGAAGCAAAAGCCGCTTTAATCAAGAAATCAGTCATCATAACTGGCTTTTATTGCTATTGCTGATTCCATATTCTTAAACCTCTTGTAGAATGCATTTGCAGTACATTCTGGCTATTAACAGTCTTTAGTTGCTCTAAATTTTTCAAAATCCAGGCGAGATGTATCAAATATTTTGCACTTGTATTGTAAATTATATCACTTTAAAAGGAAAACTTTAAACTGTATGGAAATGGTTTTATAACCATAGAGAATGATGGGGTTTGAGATAATTGCAGATCTAAAGTATTTCTATATTTACATTGTGCTCTTGTAAATAGCTTTACACCCCAGAGCAATGGAATGCTAAAACCGCTTTTATAGAGGTGATAAGCGCCTGTTGGTAATGATACCTTTGAGGGAACTGCAGAGATCAACAATTTAAGCAGCATAATCTGTTAAAAGAAAAATATTTGTTCATGTATGGTACTGTCTTTCTTGCACTTAGATAAGAGGCAGAGAAACATATTGCTGAAGGGAAGATATTATTTTATTTAAAAAAAAATGATTCTCATCAGTAGACTGAGCACGCTATAAAAAAGCTTGATGCAGTCCTGAGTTTGATCGCCGACCTTTTGCTTACTGCATGTCTTTCACTTTTCTCCCTGCCCCTCCTCATATGAATGTAAGGACAAATAAAGAGTACTAATACCAGAATAGATAAATAGATAAAACAAAATAAATAAAACACAAAATTTAACTTTTTGAACCCATGTACAATGTGTCATAGTGGAGGAAACACCATGTATCACCATGAACACATCATCCCGACAATCAAACTTGTTAGTGGCACTATCATGGTATGGGCCTGCTTTAAATATGCAGCAGTAGGGAGGTCTGTAAGGGTGAAAAAAATAGGATGAAGTTGAAGAAAATCCTCAGATAAAAACATGGAAGAGGCTGCTGAAAAAGAGAGAATAGGGTGGAGGTTCACCTTACCAGCGATGTTCAGTGCGAGCCTTTTACTCACATTTGCACCTAAAAATATATCAGTCAGTAGGAAAAAAATAGGAGCATGTTTGCAAGTAAAGATTTCACCCCTTTCATTCCCATTTTGCTCCTATTTACGTAAGATATTCATTTGCCTTCGATTAAAATTTAAGAAAGGGAAGAAAATTCCGAAAAATCAAATGGTAAATTTATATGAGGGAAATAGGCCACTCATACCGGGTGAATATTTAAGGGACGGACTGTAAGACTGTGTACTCTTAAGAGCAACCGGAGGTTCGCCTGGAAGATGAATTGGATACGTGTTTACATCCATGTAATTTCTAGAACATTTTTTGTTTTACAATAAATAACCTGTTATTTTTAATAAAACAATCTACATGTTAATTTTGTATTTCTTTTTAAATGCAACAGGGGGGGACATTTCTTAAATCTTGGAATGCTACTTTTAATAACTGCGTGGTAACAGTATGTTGTTAATTATTATGCTGTTAACTTACTGTCTCATTTTTATGTATTCGTTTTTATACTTTTAACTTTTAGGCTATGTGTATTGGCACGCTTCCCATTTCTTTTAACTTTGCTTCTCAAACGCCTAAAAAAAAATGAAGGATAATTCTATTCTATTCTGCCTCTGCCATGTAAGGCCTTTTATTTGCGCGGGAGAATTACGCTTGCAAATTTAGCCAAGTTCCATACTGGATTTCCTTGTAGTAGTTTCCCAGAAGTTGTCTTCTTTTCAAATCTGGTAGTTCCTAGGAAACATTCCACTTAGTTTAATGTCTAAATGTTTGCTAATGTAACCAAAGTTTTGTGACTTAGAGATACTTTTTTGTTGATTTTTTTTTTTTATCTTTTCTGGCAGTTTTAATATTACAAATTATGATGGCTGTTTAGAAACAAAGTTTTAATCTTACATTTATAAAAACTTTTTTATACTAGATACTGCAAATTACATGCAGAGAAAAAAGTCAGAATCCTGAGAGAAAATGTCAGAATTCTGAGATTAAAGTCAGAATTCTGGGGAGGGTAACAATCAGAATTTTGGGATTAAAGTCAGAATTCTGTTTTTTTTTTTTTTTTTTTTTTCCATATTAAACTGAAATATTTAAAAATCAGTTAACTTTTTTATTTTTTTCAGTGGCCCTAATCCTCCTCCTTAGTAGTGCTGAGCTTTAAATGTCTTCTATAAAATATAGGGGCCACTTGCTGCCATCTAGCGGTCAGTCATTGCTTTAACAATTAGTGTCTCAAACAACAAGACACACCTGCTGGACTGTAGATGCTCTGTGAAAATCTAATTAAATAGCCTACTTACGTTTGACACATTTAGACAAGTAACATTTTTGATCATTAGTTATGGGGAGTAATGTGATGAAAATCGTTATTTGTGTAGAATTTCCCGGACCAAACTTAAAGTAACCCTACCTGATTGGAAGACTGAAGCACCTGTGTGAACAGCGAGTAGGTGAAGAACCATCGGATATCTGCGTTTCTCTAAATTCCTCCGCCATGCGCTTGGGAATGAAATGTCGCAAATACGTCAGACCACCCCACAGACTCTGACTGAAGGTTACCCTGTGACAAACCTGACCCTAGTTGTCCTGTTGCTCATTCCCTGCGTGGTTATTCTTCTCCTGTTGAACTGTTTCTTCTTGGGCTACAAGATCCTGGCCCTGTCAAAGAAGAGCAGCAGACAGAGGAGAGGGGACACGGAGGACATGCTCCTGCGCTCCACCTTGCAAAGACTGAGAGTATCCGACGTGGCCTTTTCCCCACTGGGGGACGGGAGGACAGCCTACATGTCCCTGTCCGAGCCCGTCCTGTCCCACCCAGTCACTTCTTCAAGGGCCTCGTCCAGAGATGGGGCCGGGTTGACCCACAGGATCAGGCTGCTGAGGCCTGATGGTGCGACTGGCTCTGGATCCTTGAGGGCCCCCAGCACCATCCGCGCCGCGTCCTCCGCGCAGGGCTTCACCCCCAGGCTCCCCATCCCTCCCAGCTGCAGGAAGCCGGGCTGGTGTCAGAGCGCACCGCTTTTATTGCGCTCCAGTGACTCAGAGGCTGAAACAAGAGTCAACCTGGTTCCACCAAACTCTCCCATGGTAAGTTCTGAGGCATTTGCATAAAATAGCAATAGTTAAATTACAGATTAAATAGTGGATGTAGCCTACATCTGAATTGTTTTTCCATAAACACATAGTGCAAAGAGTATTTACTCCCCTGCACACTAATTTTGCAGTAATCTCAATCTTACTCTCTTAATACTTTTTTGGGATAACTTAAGGATATGTTGGAAGTCCTTTACATAAATCCTCTGTTTATGCATTGAACTGGCATCTCTGACAGTAAAACAGCAGAGAAACTTTTTATAAGGGTGACCAGGCAGAAAGTAGATAGGCACCAGAACCTCAGGGTCAATCTACACTGTTCCAACAGGAAAATTAACTAGCAAAATATCCATATTTTCTAAATAAAGACAAACTATACTTTTCTACAGCCTTTGCTAATAAATACACACATATATTTAAACATCCGTAATTTCTAGATGAAAGCTATAGTGGATAAAACTCAGTTTTGAGTTCTGGGGCGTAAATCAATCATCATTGTCATTACCTACCTACTTGTATCAATAAATATTCTGCATAAAATTTATATTTACAAGCACTATCTACATAAATTGAATATTTGATAAGTTTTTATTAAAATAATTTATCTTTGATTTCACTGCAGACTCATAGATGACTTGCAGATACACAAAAATTTCTCTTTACCCCATATAAGACAAAATCTAGTTCTAAAAAGAGCATGAATTCTGTACTTATCATCTTTGATGTTAGCATATTCATGTGTATAATTAACCACAAAAAATAAAATGTTCTCCACTTGAGAGTATTAGTCTTGCCCCATCTGTATTAGAGGGTATAAATGGTAGGGGTAGAAAACACAAGGGTTGCCAATGATTGCCTAAGGGTGGCCATGGCCTCCCCTGGCCCCACATCTAGCTCCGCCCCTGTAAAACAGCACCTTGACAAATGATATAAAGTTTTAAGACCTGGAGGCCCTTACATTGACTTCTACATAATGTCTTCTATTTGCTTTTCCAAAATCTTTCTCTTTCTGACCAATAGAGTATTTGTGTTTTAGAGTTTGTTACTGATTTCCTTTAATACTAATCTGAGCATGGGCGACGTATGGGTGAGAAAATTTATGAAGATTCTAAGGGCCCTTGACTGAGGGGGGGCCCCAAAAGAAGAGGAAAAGATCTGTCCCACTATAATTTTCAAATATATAACAGAAAATCCATCAGTGAAATAAAACATTTATGTTCTCCTTCATTTGTCAGCTGTAAACAGCGAAACAAATCATGAATGTATTGAATATATGAATAGATTTTTATACCATTAAAATTATTCTTATTATTATACTATACCATAAATATATATTATTATTAAACCATTTTATACCATTAAAAGACATCTATAAATCTTGATCATTCTCATAAGCAGCCTGAAGCAGCCACACCAAAAATATATGTTTTGTCATTACATGCAGGGGCGGATCTAGAAAAATATTTATGGGGTGGCGAGAGGGGGGCAGGAATTTTTGAGGGGTGGTAACATACGGCATTTTTTTTTACAATAAATTTAATCACAATTATCACAGTTTGGTGTTTCATGTGAAACAGTTCATATTAGAAATACATCGTACAATGTGATCTCACTTAATAGGAGATCACATTGTAGAGGGGCCTTATGACAGGAAAGGTATTAAGGTAAGACACAGGTGCTGAGTCGCAGATGTGTGAGATTGACTGTCAGAGAGGCAGCTTTGCAGCATTTGCACAAGAAGAAACTATAGAAAGAAAAAGTTCCCCATCAGAGATAAATGGACTGAGCTGGACTAAAGTGAGCAGAACTACACAGTAGAAATAAATGGGTCAAGGCACCCGAACAAGGTACTGGACATCTATGTAATGTTTACTCTGAACACAGATTTACCCCATTTGTTCCTCAGTAACTTGACATACAGCAGTTAAGGCAACATGAAAGGGACATTTCATGCATGTAAATATGCTGTAGATAGAGCTGCTGTATCAACAAATCAACAAAAAGGCGGGTTCTGTATGTTACATCAAAATCTCCACAAATCTGAAAAAAGCAACATAAAAATAAATTTTGCTTCCAGTCTGAAAAAGTACAAAACATTTGTGTGAGTAGGTTCATACAGGTCATTTCTGGATAGTTTCATATTATATATACAAAAAAAAAGAAACAACACTGCTTCATTATAAGCAGGATTTACACCAGCATCACATTTTTAACTTTTAACACTTTTGGTTTTATTTAAGTAAATATCAGATTTTCTCAGGTGCCAAAACAAAATGTAGCAGCTCTGTAAAGGCTCACCAGAGAGCATAACATAAAGTTAACATGACTATAACAGCTGAATGCGGTGATTTCCATGTTGCTCAGCAAAACGCTTCACAACTTTATTTAGATCCAATGCCTTTGTGCGTTTTGATTTGAGTTCAACCAAACTTGATCGTCTCTTTTCTGTCATAGTTGACCGCAAATATGTCTTTATGAGCCTGAGACGTCAGGCCTAACTAACATCATAGATAGAGAAATAACGTTCTGCAACCTGATTTTTATCATCTCTAAATCAACATTGCAGCTATGCTAGCAACATTGTGCTTTCATTATGATTTCATTTCTCGATAGATAGTTAATCAATTTTTACCTGTTTCATCCCGTGTCTCCTCTCCCCATGACCCCTGGCTCCCTCGCTTTGCCCCATTCGGTTTCCAAAACTAATCAGTCTCAGTCGCTTTCGCGTCATTTCGTACTGCATTCACTGCAGTCCAAAATTGGAAATTAGCGGTCGTAATTCTCAAATTATCCATAATTTATAAGCCTCGCCACCCCTACAGCCAACTGGGGTGGCAGCAGGGGTGGCAAGGCTGTCATTTAGGGTGGCAGTTGCCACCCTATGCCACCCCAGTAGATCCGCCTATGATTACATGTATACATGAATGATAAATTAGTTCTTGGGGCCAGCATGAAAATGATCTGTCCTTTAGTAAAGTTACAGGGAAACCCTAATAGGAATATTTTTTTAAATTTTCTATTCATGTGTACATAGATACAGCTGTGCTTTTTGTTTTAAATAAGTTTTCATTATTTTGATAGTATATAAATGTAAAGTTTAAAATATATTTAAAATTTTCACGTTATAATTTTCCTTTGTAGAAATTTTACAATGAAAATTACATAAAAAATGTAAATGATACTCTTTCGTGCATCTTTATTGCAGAGGTTTTTTTTGGGGGTGGGTCTTTCATGGGTCCCCAAATTCCTGGCGCTGCCCCTGCTTGTACATATGTGTGCTCCAAAAAATACAATGATTTAAAACACGCAAAACAGATTTTTAGAATGGAAAAAGCTAACTGACAATAAGCTGTAATGGCTCTGGCTTCAAATTTATTTGAAACTTGCGCAGTACTAAAACGATTGGTTTGTGATTGAAAACTAACGTAGGCAACCTGAGCTGCAATGTTGGAAAGAACTGCGAAATATCTTGCAACAGTTATCCCAGAGGCCTGCTGATTGCTGCAGCAATATATATAGTCTCGGCATCACACTCAGGAACTGTAACCTAATATATGCAGAAGTAAAAGTATATTTTTGAGTTTGTTTGTATAATTTAGATTCTGTCCTTTAGAGATAATCAACAAAAATGGGTTCAAATACGTCGTTAAACCTGCTGCTACTTATAACTTCTGTCAACTTTTCTTTTGTTGTTTTTTCCCCCTGTATTCATAGCATGAAATGGAACATATGGATCACATTCGTAGGAGCAGTACTTATGAAAAGCTGGCAGAAGCAAAGGAGGAGGCTCCTGTGCATCCGTACGACAAGCTGGTAATGGAGTGTGAAAACATCAACCCAGCATCAGATATATCCAGTCTGAACACGTCAACCGTGGGTCCTGGACTGGACAGCGACTTCGGAGCAAGTGCAGGTAAAATATTAAATAAAAAAGACTGCAACTAAAACTGTTTGCACATTTGCTATGCAAATTTGTCTTTCTGCTTGCAGTATATTTTTTATATAGGCTAACACTTATGTCTATATAACTAAACAGATTTTGTTTTCCTTAGGCTAAACATCCATTTATTAGAGGCAGTTATGTTTAAATACTATAACATTACAGAAGTATGGACATTGTCTTCCAGGTGTCTCCCTGCGCATTTTGTCAGCAGATAGTGACGGCCTGTCCAACGGACTGCTGTCCTCAGCGCTAGAGTGGGATTACTATGACCCCTGTTACGTCAGACAAAATAATATACCCAAACATAACAACCACAGGCCTGTGATGCACACAAAACAATATTGGGTATAGCTAGTAGTTTTATTCGTGTATTTTTATTTTATTTTTTTTACTTTACACGTTTATTCCACATAAAATACCAATATGAATGTTTTATTTAAAGTTTGTCTTAAATGTAATCACTTTATTAATCCACTGTATTTTTGTTGTAGACAGCACTATTGTCTTAATGTTAACACCGATTCTTCACTTAAGTTAATATATTATGTTTCCTCTGCATCCTTCACTCAAAATTTTAAGTTTTTCACCATTTATCACAACTGTTATGGTTGAGTTAATTTTAAGTTTCACACCTTTTCACTTTCCTGAGGTTTGTGTCAATATGTAGGATGTTATTCACGCAAAGGATGGAGAATGCAATAAAGCTTTTTTATAATAAATTGATGTTGTAGTCTAACATTTTTACTAAGATTGTTGAAAAGCTTAACCAGACCTAATGCACTTTGGGTTGTTTTTTTTTCTTATTAAACTGTTGGATATGTAAAGAGAAGATTAAAACATTGGTAAATTCAATTCAAACTTTTCACGTCCCATTAATCTTTTTACACTGGGTCACATTAAAACCCACTCTTTACAAGTATTTTAGGTTGTACATGTTTTTCAGCATTCATAAAACAAAGTGAAAATTATCTGTATTTACTGGCACATCTTTATTTTGACTTATTTAAAAAGTAGATTTATTTTACACAGCAATGTTCTTATACTATATAGAGTATTGGCAAATAACTATTGACTCAGTATGATAACAGCAAAGCTCAAAACATACTTTTATTACTTATTGTGTAGTGTGAAATTTTAGAAAAGGCTTGATCAAGTGATTTTATTCAGAGAAGTTGCATAACCTTTTAACAGAAGCACTGTTTCTATCAGCCTGCTTATATTGGAAATTTTATTTATATTCTGATAATTGTTTGCCTAATATCCAACTGATTTCTATTAATATTGGATCAGGAAATCCCTATTTAAAATGGGGAAATATTTCAAGCCTTTACTCTTTGAATCTTGGCTGTTTTTGGATGAAGAGACTGAAAACCCAAAGTTCCAATCTCAGAATTAGAATATCTCCCTTTCTTTGGTCTTGGTGAAGGAAAAATGAATTATCACAAGCACTATCTAGTATGGAGTTCAACTTCTGTTTTAGAAGCATTTTAGTGAGTGTAACCCCCAGATTCCACATACTCTGTCATGTTAATCAATGAGAGCTGTTCCACATCCACTGTTACCCCCATCCGCACGTAACCACCCACATACGTCTTCTCCGTCCGTCACCTTCAAAATACCGAGCTGAGCTATGCTATGCTCTGGTCCGGCCAGCTCAAGATCTGCAATTGCAATCGCATCAAACAGGAAAAAGAACGCAGAGGAGATCCGGTTTGTCAAATTAAAATATAATACCAATCGTAACTACAAATTAGAGCATAATTCTTATATATTCCCCAAAACTAAGACCATAATTAAAGTATTGGAAGCAAACTATTTGTACTTCAACATACCAGGAGGGTGATTTCTCATCTCTTTATACTGAGGCTCAAAAGTTTAATCAAATCTAGTCAAAACTTCCAAGAGCGCATCTGACAACTTCAAAACAAACTTATCGCAGTAATGGATGATGTTGAGTTTGGAAGTAGAGAACAAACATGGTTCATACAAACCATTTATATATGATAGTAGTTATCCCTGTTACAAAAATCCTTCAAAAATCCATATTTGGTCAAACTGCACATATGCTGGACGCTGATGGGTTTTGTTTTTTTTTTTACATGTCACATTAAGTGTTTATTTCTGCATGGTTTGCTCCTATAAATTTAACAATATCATGCATGCTCTCCTCGAGCTCCAAGGAAGTCTGAGCGGAGAGAGACAGGAGGAACAGCGGAGGCTGAAGGTTTTGCTTTCTGCAGGCGGTTTGGAGCGGTTACGTAGGATGTGGGATTTCAGGGTAAGCATGTAGCCTACTATACAGTCTTTATCAATTAGTTTATCCGTTGGAAGTTCATTTTTAATCCACCCATTATAAATTCATGCTCATATTCCAGAGGCCAAGCTATGCTTTAGCTCAGGCCATCAGAGGTAAACTAGTATTTCTGTTATGCTACAATTTATACAAAGAGCCTTTTCTCAGATCAACTTAAAATGAATTCATCTGGATTCTTAATGAAGAGCGCCATACTGATAACTCCACAGCAAAATCGATAGCGGGGAAAATAAGTTACAGCAATGCCATGTTGTTGGAACACTTTATTTTTCTTTGAGAGATAATTATATACTAAATCAAGTGTCTTGATTTCTTTTTTTTTGTAATTTCTTTAAAGTATGACCGATGCTTTGAAATGCAACTAAACCAAATAAAAATCAAGTTACTCGAAGCTGGAAAGGAAGTTCAAGACAATCTGCTTGAGTTTAGCATCAGAAGCTTCAGATATTTTCCCATCAGCCCTGCAAAGAAGAGCAAACCCGTTATAACACATTTCTTATAAGAAAGAAAATGGAACATGCAGTATTTCTAACTTACTTGATAGCTGCCAGCAAGTCTTGCTGCTGGCTCAATATGTGCTGCAGAAAAGCTTTTTCAAACTTGGTGATCTTGCTTGGCTCCATCTTGTCCAGGTGTCCTCTCACACCTGCATAAATGACCGCTACCTGTTCTTCAATAGCCATTGGAGCTGAAAGATAAAAGTCAGGCAGTTTGAGTTAGATAAGAACTTATTCTCAAGAAAACTAGGAACACGCAGCTAATACTTACAGTACTGTCCCTGTTTCAGGAGTTCAGTTAGACGAACGCCGCGGTTTAGCAGCTGCTGTGTGGCAGCATCCAGGTCTGAACCGAACTGAGCGAAGGCGGCCACTTCACGGTACTGGGCCAGCTCCAGCTTCATTGTACCAGCCACCTGATGCAAGGCAGCTTCAGGTTAGTTAAAGTGAAACATATAGAGTGAGGGGATCTCAGCGAGGATTTACCTGCTTCATGGCTCTGGTCTGGGCAGCAGATCCAACACGTGACACTGACAGACCAACATTAATGGCAGGACGAATACCTTTGTAGAACAGCTCGGTCTCTAAGAAGATCTGTGGGAGAGAACTGTATTTAATAAGTAACTCCAAGTCTGGCCATATCGGGCATAAAGAGTGAATAATCGGCTGCTCGCCTGTCCGTCTGTGATGGAGATGACATTTGTTGGAATGTAGGCCGACACGTCTCCAGCCTGTGTCTCGATAACAGGAAGGGCGGTGAGGGAGCCACCACCAAAGTTGTCGTTCATCTTGGCAGCTCTCTCCAGCAGACGGGAATGCAAGTAGAAGACGTCTCCTGGGTATGCCTCACGGCCGGGGGGGCGGCGGAGCAGCAGGGACATCTGACGGTAGGCGACAGCCTGCAGACATAAAAAAAAAGATTTTACTTCATTCAAATCTGGTGCTTTATTAGAAGCCATGAGGACTTGAAATCTATCCACCAGCAGGAGATAGAAGCTTCACCTGCTTGGAGAGATCGTCGTAGATGATGAGGGCATGCTTGCCGTTGTCTCTAAAGTACTCCCCCATGGAGCAGCCAGAGTAGGGAGCGAGGTATTGCAGAGGAGCAGCGTCGGAGGCGGTGGCAGAGACCACAATGGTGTACTTCATGGCATCTGCATCAGTTAGCCTCTTCACCAGCTGCGCCACAGTGGATCTCTTCTGGCCAATAGCAACATAGATGCAATACAGCTTTTTCTTCTCGTCGGTTCCATCGTTGAAGCGTTTCTGGTTGATGATTGTATCGATGGCAATGGCGGTTTTGCTGCAAAGCAAATGTAAATATCTTTGTTGATGTTGTCCTTACAAATTGGTTTTTTAACAGAGTACAGAACCACAAAGGTTGCAGGATTCCTGCCTGAAAACTAGACCATAGCAGCTCAAAACAGTTTAAAAATGTTTTTTCTCGAAAAAAAAAAAAAAAAAAAATGATGTCACTCTGTCTGTTGGACCCACTGCGCCAAATGTGTGTCCAAATGTACCAAATTATGTTGTATGCATTTTAATGTTTAACTGACCAAAAATTAAACAGTAATTTTTGGACCTAAAAGAAACATCCTATTTTCCAACATTACTTTTTTTTTTTTTTTTAATAAAGTGGACAAAAACTTTACCGTATTTTCACGACCATAAGGCGCATATAAACGTCTTTTTTTTCCCCTCAAATGTGCGGCCTCAAAAACTTAAACCGCGCAGTGAAGGTGGTGAAGCGGTGCTCAGTGAAGCAGTGCGCGATGGGAGCGTTCACTGTTCCTCCGTCACCTCAGGCTACCATGTGACATTTGCTTCAGGATAAACATTTAATCCTGAATGCTTATTATATATTAAGCCCATAGAGCCTGTGTTGCTATACCAGGCTTATATAAGGCTTTTACATTTTTGCGGCTCCAGACAGATTTTTTTTTTTGGTCCAATATGGCTCTTTGAGCAGTTTGGGTTGCCGACCCCTGGCCTAAAGAGACTTTTCCAGCTGGAGTCGTTATTAAGGCAAATGAAAAGGGCTGGATGGATGAGGAGATGATGAAAGGGTGCCTGAGGGAGGTGTATGTAAGGAGACCAGGTGGTTTTTTCCACTCATCACCATCGCTGCTAATCTGCGACTCCATGCGTGCCCATCTCACAGCCGATGTGAAAAACAAGGTGAATCAAATGAACGCTGTGCTGCTGTTATTCCGGGAGGTCTGACAAAGGAACTTCAACCGCTCGACATCGGTGTGAACCGGCCGTTCAAAGTAAGGCTGCGAGTGGCATGGGAGAGATGGATGACCGACGGAGACCACAGTTTCACAAAAATTGGAAGGCAGCGCCGGGCAAGTTACGCCACCGTTTGCTGCTGGCACTGTTGTTCGAGCTTTCGCAAAAGCCGGCATCATTTCTGAGGAGCCGCATGACTCTGACAGCGAAGAAGGGGAAATTGGCATGTCTGATTTAGCGCAGCTGTTTAATTCAGAAACAGAGGATGATGACTTCGACGGGTTTAATAATTTGTAATAAATACATGAATAAAGCACAAACATACTCAGTTTTGCTCCCGCTCTATTTTTAAATACGCAGTATAGGTATTTAAACGTAGTAGAGGATATTTACCGGTATATAAAACCCACGCCCTATAGACCGGTGCGCCTTATGTGTGTGTTAAATACAGTAATGGCACACATAACTGAGACTGCGCCTTTTAATACGGTGCGTCTTATGGTCGTGAAAATACGGTAATATCCCACGGTGTGAGCCACTATCTAACAATCAAGGGGCCAGGGATGAATGCTGACCTTAAGCCTCGCCTGTCGTTTTCAAGCTGTTCCTGTCAGCTGCAACTTCATGTAAAATATTTTTGGAAACGTCACTGCATCAGATCATAAGGCTGGAGAAGATAAGTGACTGAGAAACTCTGGGGGTTTTTTTTTATAGCAAAGTAAAAAAGAGATGAAAAC